GGCTTTATCTCTTCATTTGCCAAGTTCCCTCAAACAAGAACTTTATCTCACTTGTATATCGTGTTTACTCGTTCATGTAAAACAGTACGTATATAAATACAAGAGAAAAATAATAATATCATAGAGTTTACAATGTACTGCCTATCTGTGATGTATGAAGATTAGTACTCGGGCAATCTTTGGCTTTAGCATGTTCCTTAAACAGAATGCCAAATCTCTCCGCACTGAACTGCGACTTCTGACACTGCTTCATTGCTTCTCCTGTGACTGCATTCCAGCAATACTTTACCTGTTTGTAGACCCCACTCAGACAGTGTACTAATACTCCATTACTCACGTGTCACATATTGTTGCCAGTACCACATATCGCTTTAGTTTCATCTCTACGTTCGTATTTCCCTGGCACTCAGCGCCTCGAACGAAATAAAGAATTCGATCCGTTGAATCCGCATCAAGAGACAGCCATGTTGGAGGGTGACGTTTCTTCCGTGCACCGAAAGGGATCTGTACCGGATGTGAATGGTGTAAGTTCTACTTTGAGTGACATCACACCTTTGGATTCACCCTTTCGGTATTTCTCGAAAATAACTTGTTTGGTTATGTCTAGTGTGCAGAGTTGATTATTGTTCACTTTCTATAGACCCAACAGAGAATTTGCCACCTCTTTGCCAAAGCCCCAGTTATAATCCTCGGGTGAGTTCTAAATCTTTCTCACCTCAAAGTACACATGATTGTTATTGTGATGTTGAAGGGCGTCTTTGAAAACATCTGTTGCATAAGTCCTGCTAACCACCCTGCAGCGAGGAGACTTTTTCCCGAAGTGAAAGAACTAGAATGCGATATCTGGGTGCACAGACGATTAGCCTTTCTGAGAAAGTGGGAAAGATTTGATGTGAATCCTGTTAATCATAAAGAATGAGTTGGTCCCAAAGCACCCTGCCTACCGAGTCGCGAAGCTCGCCGACTGTATTGAGCGATGGGGGTACACTGGATATGCCAATCTTGTCAACTGACTGGACAGCAGCCCGATTAAACTACGGTTTTCATACATCCCAGAATTTAGCAAGTCAAAATATTCGGTTAGGAATCCCCGAGAAAATCGCCTTCTTTGAAATGGGCTGCCACAACGAGCGATGTTCGCCGAGGCAGGTAGTGGGTGGAAGAAAGTCAAGGGTGATCAAGCTAAGACCCGGCACGAGGGTATGAAAACCCTAACCAGGAGTCTGAGTCACATAGGTTCCGTTAGGCTCCCTGGATGGGGACCTCGGGATGGTCGTACCCGATGATTTGAGACACTGAGTGATATGGCTGGGTGTCGTAAACAGTGGCGTTCGTGCATCTCAATTTCTCTGCAACCTTAGACCACTGAAATTCTCCACTTTCTGTTCACTTGTACTTTCAACTTTCCTGTCTTCCTCCTTATGTTCATCCAAATGGGCAGCCAGAGCACAGCAATCAAAATCGGCGCACGATAGTGCGTGGTTAATGGTTGTACAATGTGACTCTGAAATATATATGTGTCATGACCCTATTCTGTCTGCAACATATGCCTGGATTCGTTTTTTTTTTACCAAAAAGGTTCTACTTTGATTTGTTTGACACACCGGGAACTCGGATAGCTGTGCAATACACAACAAAAGTCAGTACATACCGGGTCGGATAAGTTCTGTATTCTGTAGCAAGGTTGGGAAAGGTAGTAATCTTAACAGGGGGACGGGGGGTGGGGGGGGGCATTTGCAATACTGAACCACAGTTCAGGCAGAAGTAATGATCATTGACGGCAGCACAACCTGTCACCAGATATAACTAATGTCTTCAACCGGACTGTGACGGTTCGTTGCTTGAACAATAATTCAGAATGTGGTTCCAAATTGTTCCTTGTATTATATTATGCCTACCGGCTTGAGAATGTACGCGCAACTTTTTAATCTTTTTTATCTAGCACATTTTGTGTGATGAACAGCAAATGCGTAAAGCCCCATAGTCACGAAGATCTGCTGTTCAGTAATGGAAACCGGCCAGCCGAGCCCCTGGGGCTTGGAGTGGCGAACCACATTAGACCCCACCTAGGATAGGCGTGGTATTGAAGGGGGGGGGGCAGCAAAGCTACCTACCAAAAAACCGCGGTGTTCGGTTTCTGGATATAATTTACCTCCGGTAGCACTAATTATTACACATAATCGATAATTCTATGGTTCTGCTTCATTCCAGTCCCGTAGTCGCTATGCTCTATCAAGTATAAGTACAATGTCATTCCTGAATACCACATGACATTTTACCTCCTTGACTGTCGCAGCTTTCCTGAAGAGGGAAGTCATTCAGTCTTGCCGTTGTTTCTATGGATTTGTTGGACACTCACATAGCATCTATCTCGTCACACGACAAATACAGTTTTAAATGTAGAGGTTTTCGGCAGAACACCCAACAAAGTGGTGAACTTGTGTTAGTGACTAGCTCTGTTCCCTTTTTGCAGGGTGACAACACATTCTCTCTCTAATGCATCTTCCGATAAACTTTAAATCATTACAATTACTCTCGCTTACTTTACCAGCTCCCCTCCGTCCCTGTTTTACTTTACTTTCTAGGGAACCTCAGAGACTGGTTCCGTTCATACTCGTCCAGATGCCTGGGCTGGACATGGCTCTGGTGAAGGTCAAGCCGTGGAGGCTAATCGTATGGATGCGTCTTACCGACCACTGACCCCGGCCAATACATTTCCGTCACATTCACGACCGGAACTGGTTACTCAAGGAATGCCCCCTCGACCCAATTCAGTTATCGCCGCTGGAACAATGACCGGGCAAGCGTCCACGCAATCTGGTGGTTCACAGCCACCGTATCAAACAGCACCATCTACTCAGTACGCTGCTTTTCAGCCACATCCGACCGATCCGTCAAAATCATTTGGTCAGACATTGCCGGGTCAGGTTAGTGATGCAAACGGATCGGTTCCGTTGGTTGCAACCGGGGCCAGCAATCCATTAATGCCACCGCCTCCTGGTGCACAAACAATGCACAGGGTACGTCTGATAACAAGAGCTGTTCTCATTCAACTCACAGTTACTTGTGAGTAGTGTTGTGGGATAGTTGATTGATTGAGTAGAATTGACCATACACTCGGAAACATGAGTTGGTGGGCACACAAGTAACACGCCGTCCATGCGATAGATCTAGAATTCAAATCCCGGATGGGACGGTGGACATGCACTATCGATGAGCTCTAATAAAAGCAAAACTCGAGTATCGTGCTTCCGAGTGTATGGTTAACTGGAAGAGCTGAGGAATGTGCATAAAGATGAAGTCTAAGGGATGGTCAGTCCTAATCATTCAATCAACAAGAGGTGTTTCTGCCTGCGATGGTTTAGCCTATTTGTATGTCACATCTGCAACTTTTGGACAAGCGATCAGTTACCAAAATTCTCTGGCATTGACCCTCCTTAACGGTTGAGGCCAAAAAATGCATCCGAACTATGTACTCGTTACGAGTGAATAATCGACGTCTAGTCTGGTTGTCTCACCAGACAGTGGTACTTGTCGAAGTGGCACGCTCTACTCTGATCTATTAAATTTGATAGTGAATTTCATCTAGGAAGTTGCATCATCTTCGTGCTGGTTACAGTGATAAAGCATAACCTGGGCGTAATTCTCCACACGTGGAGTGACTGTGAACTTCCTGTCAGCAAAGCTGTACGTCACCGAACATATCTCCTTGCTACGGACAAGAGAGCGATGGGTAACACGCTACTGGATAAGCGAGAGTGAACGCTTAGTGGCAGTCTGAGGGGGGAGGGTAGGCGAAGCGGGTTTTTGCTCAGAAATTGATTAATTCCATGAAAATTGATTGATTGAGGATAGTCAAGGATTCATACTGTGAATAATCCTCATGACCTGAATGGGACTCTGGAGTTCATGATTCCGGTTTTGTCCACAGAACGTTTCTGTAAATAACGAAACGTTTTCCGTGCTCACTACAATCCCCGCATATAAACTGCTTGTATCTGATCTGTTGCGCTTCAGAAGCGCACCAGATGATATACACAGCACTTAATTCTGTACCAATGTGATCAAAATGCAGGCACTATCAGCATTGACCAGTACGCGGGAATTGCTTGCGTGGTGAAAAATGAAGACTATCCCCCTCTAAAGAGATTGATTTTGTCATTTCTCAACACTCATATGACTCATTGTTCCAAGTATTCTGCTTTAGTTTTCGTTACCCCTATACCCGCATTTGAGTACCATCAGTTTGGTGGCAATTCGCTTGCAATAATCGATTCGATAATAGGCGCACACCGTTTTTCACATGAGAAAGTGACATAGAATAAAATCACTATAGCAACTCCATTGCACACAATATATAAGACGAGTCTTTGATCCGACTACATCTGCTTAGTGGCTGGACGCGCTAGCAGTACCCGTCCATCAAATCCCAATGCATATGTATTGCAAGTTTGGCGTGATCAATGAAGTCCGTTTCTCTGTATTTCGCTGTACGATGATGATGAAACCGTCACGGAAGTCCATGTTAAAATATCATATAAAGACGCTTAAGTCATAGTTGTTGTGGTTAGTAGCATTTGACCTACCTGTAAACATCGAATCATAGTATTGATTCATTAGTGGACTTATCTTGAAATAGATATCCAAACAAATTTACCCGGTGTTGCAAATGAGGTTATTGTGACAAAAATACACTTTCTGGTTAATATATATAAATGAAGATTAGGGATTACCGAGTACGAATGGTTGATGACCGGTAAGAACCGCGTAACCGGTTGTGTGCTTCCAGTCGAGTCATTCATATACTACTTACTATAATATATATATATATATATATATATATATATATATATATAATATTCTGTCATATGTTGAATCGACCGCCTTTCCTTATTCTCTGTTCACTCTCCTTTTTGTCGAGAAATGCGTGTTGCAAACGG